TCTCAGGGTGGATCTTAGGGTTGTTGTCAGAGGTCAAGTTGCAGTTGATGTGAAGGTCAGTATCTCGGCTCACCGGACGCTTTCATCGAGTGCGTATACATGCACATCAATAACCCGGTTATGATCGGGTTTTTTGAGTATCCCGGTTTCTTGATGGTGCATGTAAACGCAGTACTGTAGCTGGTTTTATTCCGATCCTACTGGTTAAACGCAGTGGTTACTGCAACATAAAGTTGAGTGCACATGCTTCCAAAAGACACTTTCCAGCCTTTCACCACAACAGTAGTGACATAAATAAATTGACCAACATAAATAAAGTGACCAAACGAGTGAAATGACTGTAAAATAAAGAGCTGCGCTAAACCTGCACACGTACAATCTGCACTCGTGTGACGCTGAAAAGCTAAAACATGAACTATCTCCTATACTCTATACGCACGGAACACACTCACCATCATCAGCACCTCTTCTGTCACAGAAATAACACACATAATCCACAGAGTCGTGTCATTTAGTCCAAAAGAAACTGATCACATCAGCGGCGCAAGGAGCGAGTTGTTTTTATCGCCGCTAACAGTTTATGCTAATTAGCCAAACGGTCTAAAGTTTCGTTTCTGTAAAACATAAACAAATGTGATCAGAGCTGAATTATCTGATCAAACGGGCTGATGTGTCTATAGTGTTTATGGTTTATATGTTGTAAAGTTGAGTTTATTTAAGATTTTAATGAAGAATCTGCACAGTGGATTGTGGGAGATCTCGTAGCTCCTTAGCTTCTTATGCTAAAGGAGCTCACGGTTTGTATTTTTCCTGGTTTATTAAATTGATTTAAGTTAATATTTGCGCCTGCGCATTTGTAAGATTATGTCAAGAAACCGGGACACTCCATTTGATCATGTACACGCGGATATGAGTGTCCCGGTTTCTCAGTGCGCATGTAAACACAGTAACACGAACACTGACAGAACCGGGATATGGCTAATAACCGGGTTATTGATGTGCATGTGTACACACTCAATGAGATTTACTGACATACAGCTGTTTGTACTAACCTGTTAATGCAGAGTGTGTAATGGGTTTAATGTTTGACTTCATATTATGATAAAGTATTTCCAGAAGTTCCTTGGATTGTTTAATAAACCATTTTTTTCTCAGGAGAGATTCTTTCTTTCTTTACAAACTGACTGTATAAATGTAATCCCTGATCAATATAAAAATCCTTAATAATGATAATATTTAGTAATGTAAATCTCATCACAGTTTTTGTAAACTTTAAGATAATTTAGTCTATTTATTTATGGTCATGACTCTGGGTAGTGACCGAAAGGACGAGATCGCGGATACAAGCGCTTGAAATGAGTTTCCTCCGCAGGGTGTCTGGGCGTCTCCCTTAGAGACAGGGTGAGGAGCTCAGTCACACGGGAGGAGCTCGGAGTAGAGCCGCTGCTCCTCCACGTGGAGAGGAGCCAGTTGAGGCTCGGGCATCTGTTCCGGATGCCTCCTGGGCGTCTCCCTCGGGAGGTGTTCTGGGCATGTCCCACCGGGAGGAGGCCCCAGGGGAAGACCCAGGACACACTGGAGGGACTATGTCTCTCGGCTGGCCTGGGAACACCTCGGGGTCCCCCGGAGGAGCTGGAGGACGTGTCTGGGGTGAAGGAAGTCTGGGAGTCCCTGCTTAGGCTGCTGCCCCCGCGACCCGGCCCCGGATAAACAGACGAAAATGGATGGATGGAACACTAATACTACTACTATTAATTCTACTACTGCTACCACTAATACTAACACTACTACTAATACTACAAACACTACTACCACTACTACTTGTCCTGTAGTGTTTGTGTTGAAAGTCTGTGTCTCCCTCTAGTGGCGCCCTGAAGAACAACACCACACACATTTATACAGTCATAATTTTATTAAAAACAAGACGACGATATGAAAAAGACGCACACACTCGAGTGTAAAAGCGGCCGGCGTGTCGCTCTGGGTTCGGGGCTCTGGGTTCGGGCGTGTGGTTTGTCGTTAAATGTCCATCGTCGACGTGGCGCAGTTATCGTCGTGAGCCCGATTTCCCCGTCCCCGCCTCAGCAGCACGACAGAGAATAATTCAGACGTTTATACAGTTCAGACGAAAAAAAAAAAGAGAGGAATGAGAAGACAGAAAACAAAAGATCTGGTTTGGTCAGCTGCAGTTTGGACAAACAGATAAAAAAAAAAAAAACTGGATCCTGAAAGTCGAATCTAAACTCGATCCTCAGTTTTCACAGATCTCGATCCTGAAAAAAGAAGCTCCACCGACGAGACGGAGCAGAACTTTTCCTCAACGTGTTTAGAACAATCTGGAACTGGATCAGAACAGAGACTAGAACACACACATGGACCTGGTTTAGACCTGGTTTAGTCCTGGTTTAGTCCTGGTTTGGACCTGATTTAGTCCTGGTTTAGTCCTGGTTTGGACCTGGTTTGGACCTAGTTTGGATCTGGTTTAGACCTGGTTTAGACTTGGTTTAGTCCTGGTTTAGACCTGATTTAGTCCTGGTTTAGTCCTGATTTAGTCCTGATTTAGACCTAGTTTGGACCTGGTTTAGTCCTGGTTTGGACCTGGTTTAGTCCTGGTTTGGACCTGGCTAAGATCTAGTTTAGGCCAGGTTTAGACCTGGTTTAGACTTGTTTCTTTCCTGATTTAGTCCTGGTTTAGACCTGTTTTAGATCTGGTTTAGACCTGGTTTCGTCAGGACTAGTGCAGGGCCAAACCAAGTCTAGATAAGAACTAGATAAGAACTAAACCAGGATTAAATCAGGACTAAACCAGAACTAGAACAGGACTAGTGTAGGACCAAACCAAATGTAGATAAGGACTAAACCAGGACTAAACCAGGACTAAACCAGGACTAGACCAGGACTAGACCAGGACTAATCCAGGTCTTCATCAGGACCTAACTGGACCCAAACCAGGACTGGACCAGGACTGGACCAGGACCAGGACCAAACCATAAACCATAAACCATAAAAGTTGAAACTGCAGCTTCTCAAACCCGGAGAGAGAAAAGTTCCGCAGTTTCCGGGTGGTTTCAGATCTCGACGTCGCTCTCTTTGTCGTTGTCGTGGTCACCGTCGTAAAACTCGTTGGCCGCTTCGGGTCTGCGGAGAGGAGGGACAGTTAACGTACGGTACAGAGGAGGAAGAGAAGAGGAGAAGGTCAGAGGAGCAGAGGAGGATCAGATGGAGCAGAGGAGCAGAGGAGGAACTGAGGAGGAGCAGAGGAGGAGCAGATGGAGCAGAGGAGGAGCAGAGGAGGTTCAGGTGGAGCAGAGGAGGAGCTGAGGAGGAGCAGACGGAGCAGAGGAGGAGCTGAGGAGGTTCAGAGGAGGATCAGGTGGAGCAGAGGAGGAGCAGAGGAGGAGCAGAGGGAGCAGAGGAGGAGCAGCAGAGGATGGAGCAGAAGGAGTTCAGAGGAGGATCAGAGGAGGATCAGAGGAGGATCAGAGGAGGATCAGGGAGGATCAGAGGAGGATCAGAGGAGGATCAGAGGAGGATCAGAGGAGGATTCAGAGGAGGATCAGAGGAGGATCAGAGGAGGATCATGTGGAGGATCAGAGGAGGATCAGAGGAGGATCAGAGGAGGATCAGTGGAGGATCAGAGGAGGATCAGAGGAGGATCATGTGGAGGATCAGGTGGAGCAGAGGAGGATCAGAGGAGGAGCAGAGGAGGAGCAGATGGAGCAGAAGAGGTTCAGAGGAGGATCAGGTGGAGCAGAGGAGGATCAGAGGAGGATCAGATGGAGCAGAGGAGGTTCAGAGGAGGTTCAGAGGAGGATCAGAGGAGGATCAGAGGAGGATCAGAGGAGGAGAGGAGGTCAGAGGAGGATCAGAGGAGGTTCAGAGGAGGATCAGAGGATCAGAGGAGGATCAGAGGAGGATCAGAGGAGGTTCAGAGGAGGATCAGGTGGAGCAGAGGAGGTTCAGAGGAGGATCAGAGGAGGATCAGAGGAGGATCAGAGGAGGTTCAGAGGAGGATCAGGGAGGAGCAGAGGAGGTTCAGAGGAGGATCAGAGGAGGATCAGAGGAGGTTCAGAGGAGGATCAGAGGAGGATCATGTGGAGGATCAGAGGAGGTTCAGAGGAGGATCAGAGGAGGATCATGTGGAGGAGCAGAGGAGGTTCAGAGGAGGATCATGTGGAGGATCAGAGGAGGTTCAGAGGAGGATCAGAGGAGGATCAGGTGGAGGAGCAGAGGAGGTTCAGAGGAGGATCATGTGGAGGATCAGGTGGAGGATCAGAGGAGGATCAGAGGAGGATCATGTGGAGGATCAGAGGAGGATCATGTGGAGGATCAGAGGAGGATCAGTGGAGGATCAGAGGAGGGAGGTCAGAGGAGATCAGAGGAGGATCAGGGAGGTTCAGGAGGTTCAGAGGGTTCAGAGGAGGATCAGAGGAGGATCATGTGGAGGATCAGAGGAGGTTCAGAGGAGGTTCAGAGGAGGATCAGAGGAGGATCAGTGGAGGATCAGAGGAGGTTCAGAGGAGGATCAGAGGAGGATCAGAGGAGGTTCAGAGGAGGATCAGAGGAGGATCAGAGGAGGATCATGTGGAGGATCAGAGGAGGTCAGAGGAGGTCAGAGGAGGTTCAGAGGAGGAGGTTCAGAGGAGGATCAGAGGAGGTTCAGAGGAGGATCAGAGGAGGTTCAGAGGAGGTTCAGAGGAGGTCAGAGGAGGTCAGAGGAGGTTCAGAGGAGGTCAGAGGAGGTCAGAGGAGGATCAGAGGAGGATCAGAGGAGGATCAGAGGAGTTCAGAGGAGGTTCAGAGGAGGATCAGAGGAGGATCAGAGGAGGATCAGAGGAGGATCAGAGGAGGATCAGAGGATCAGAGGAGGTTCAGAGGAGGATCATGTGGAGGATCAGAGGAGGTTCAGAGGAGGATCAGAGGAGGATCAGAGGAGGATCAGAGGAGGATTCAGAGGAGGATCAGAGGAGGATCAGAGGAGGATCAGAGGAGGATCAGAGGAGGATTCAGAGGAGGATCAGGTGGAGGATCAGAGGAGGTTCAGAGGAGGATCATGTGGAGGATCAGAGGAGGATCAGGAGGATCAGAGGAGGATCAGAGGAGGATCAGAGGAGGATCATGTGGAGGTTCAGAGGAGGTTCAGAGGAGGATCAGAGGAGGAGGTCAGAGGAGGATCAGAGGAGGATCAGAGGAGGATCATGTGGAGGATCAGAGGAGGATCATGTGGAGGATCAGAGGAGGATCAGAGAGGATCAGAGGATACCTGGTGTAGTTCTCCTCTCCCCCTCGCTCCTCGGGGTCGGGTTCGTCCGTCCGTTCGTAGCTGAGCATGTCCGAGGGGACGTCGTGGATCTGCACAGACGGAGCGTGGTTCAGCATCTTCAGGTTCTCGAAGACGGTCTGACGGATCTGCTCCAGGTACTGACCCGCGAGGACGAGGACGACGAGGAAGAAGAAGGAACGTTAAAATAAAAATAAACGATCTAAAGAGAAACTTTCCGGAAGAGGAGCTGCACCTGTCTGGAGTTCTGGTTCTCGATCCTGGTGCTGACGTCGGGGTGAAGCGTGAAGTCCGGAGCGAAGTACTCGAAATATTCTGGAAAAATCAAAGGAAACACAGAATTCTGAACTCGATCCCACCAAAAAGACGTACAAACAATCTGATCAAATGTGCAGATATTTCACAAAAACAAACAACAACGCAGAATTGTCTGTATTTCATTTACAAGCCGAACACAAACTGTAGATATAATTTTATTTCCTGGTTTGTCAACATTGGGCCTCAATCAAGAAGGTTCATAACTTCCACTTTGAGAAGATGCTGAGAGACTCTGCGCCAAATTCACAAAACGTTCTAACGCATCTAACGACACGATTCCTCGGGTCGTCTTGTCATAATCTGCATGTACGACTGTGAGATGTGTCCAGTCAAGTGTTAACGGAGGAAACAGGGTCAGATTTTTGACATTCAAATGTCTCTTATTCAGAAACTAGAGGAACTATTGAAATAAGTAAAGTATCAGAATGTAGGAAAGAGTTACACTCCAACAGGGTCAAGTTAAACCTGTGATATTCTTTCAAGTTCAAGACAAAAAATTTTAAAAACTCATGTCGGTAACGGAGGGAATGAAATATGCAGCACTTTTTGGTCAATAAATCCAAACAGTGATAACTCTTGGTTCTCACTTCCATATCCTTAACAAACTGGTTTGAATATTTGCTTCATATAGTTTTCTACCATATGGTACAAGATTAGGTTGAAAAACCTCTGACTTTTTGACTCATGAGATTTTTTATTAAGAAAGTTCATGGTAACGGAGGGAAAAGTAACGGAGGGAAAATTGTACAAACAAGTAGAAGGTGCAGGATTTTACATCATTTGTCGCTTTTTTGTTCTGAATATTTTAATATTACTTCAAAATGAAAGAAACTATTTCTATAAAATATGTCAGTCCTTCCAAGAACATTTTTATCATTTTAAATACTTTTTTTTTTTAAATCATGTCCCTTCATCAACAGTTCAAAGATGGAATAACACAAGATATGATGAAATACATCCATTTATTTACAGGATTTTTGGGTCTTGGAAATTTGGGAAATAATTTTTGTTCCATGTTTCATACATGGTCTGTTTAAAACGTATGGAACTTTAGAACCAAAAATGGAACAGAAAAAAGGTCAACAGTTTGATAAACTAGAGCACATATGTATCTGTTCAATACATTTTTATATCAGATGCATTAACTTGAAGTTTTGGACTTGTTGTTTACTTCTGTTTGACCGGGGCCCACACACATATACGTACATCTCTGTCCACACACTCCTCTGCTCCTCACTTCTTCGGCAGCATCTTAAAACGTGAGTACTGTTTGAGTATAAGTCGCACTTAAAATCCCTTAATTTTCTCAAACATGGACAGCGCGTCTTCTGTCTTCATTCTGGTTGTGCTCACTGACCTCGAACCGATTTTCACGAGTCGTGTTCTTTAGTCTGAAGGAACGAGCTGTTTTTTTTTTTTAACGTAATCGATGAAATTCTTAATGATCAATTATCGATTAATCGACTAATCACGGCCATCCCTAGTC